TGTGTAAAGAACTCAGTCCAACAGAGCTTTATATTAATGAGGGATCCACACTGAACCTTTCTTTTAAGGCATGATATAGGGTAGAGTAAACTAAATAGTACAAGCAGAATGCTAGTTTTTTTACACTGCAACATGGTTCTTGCCCATTTGAGTTAAATTTCATAAGAACTTTTTTCTGGTCAGAGGTCCTGCCCCTGCTCCCAGCTCAGTACTGTGGCAGGGAACGGAGGGCCTCTCTGGTAGCCCCCGCCCCCTGGCTTCTAGCCTCAGCCACTGCAGGCATGTGCCTGAATTTCCTCAGTCCAGAGGGAATATCTGTGTGGTTACAAACTGTTTCAGCCTAGTCAGGTTAGACTAACTTGCAAAGATTGAATCAATTCAGGCTCAGGCTTTTTGAATGCCTGTCCCTAGCCTAGAAGTTCAGTGTACCAGTTTCAAAATGGTTGAAGCTGATTTAAGATAAACCTGGTTGAATGTAGTATCAGACTTAATTGATTTAAGTCAAACCAGTGTATGAATCTTCTGTCCCAGACACCTTCCAGGTTCAAGTTAAATCAGAGCCCACCAGCAATCCAGCATTTTGCAGTTCTGGGCCAGGCTGCGCTGTCTGCTCTAGAGAACAGGGATGGCTCCACTCTTCTTCTCCCCAGCTGGAGCAGTGAGAAGTGGCTCACTGGTCTCACTGGCTGGCTCACTGCCCCTCCCAGGCAAACCCCTGCTGGGGTCTGAGACTGGGGGGGGGGGGGGGCGGGGGGTTATACTTCCCTTCCCCCAAGCATGGAGCTGCCCTTCTGGCTTACTTAGTGCTGGCTGAGGTTGTGGACTACAAATCCCAAAGGCATCTGGGAGCAGGAAGAGGAAGTGATAAGCAACCCTGCAGAGTCCTGCTGCTGTGATTGTGGACTGCAAATCCCAGAGACCTCAGGGGCAGCAGGAAGAGTAAGCGACCATACAACCCATACTGGCTACATGCCAGAGAACCGTGCTGTAGTGCCCCCGGCTTCTGGCTTGAGCCAGAAGACATGTGGCTGCATTTCCTGAATCCAAAGTGAATGTCTGTTCATTTGCTTATTGGTTCAATCTTTGCAGCTGAGACTAACCTGCAAAGACTGAACCAATTTAGCTTCACGCTTTCTGACTGTCTGTACTTAGCCATAGACTCAGTGAAGGCTCCACTCAGAAAAGTGAAAGGGTTTTGGTACCATCTTTTAAAAAGCCAGATGCAATCCTGCAGTTTGAAGATGAGAGACTGGCCTATCAGGCAATCAGCAGTCAGGGGTGGGGCTGCCAGGGGCCCTCAGCCTATCATTGGAGGGGGATGTTCACTTTTAAAAATACCACAAAATCTGCTCTGTGCATCATGAGCAGCCCAAGAAAATTCCTGTCTCACTGCAATTTAAATAGATCCCTACTCATAAAACAGAAACTGCTCTTACTGTATTTTCACATATAATGTGCACTTCAATTTTGAGCAACTGTTTTTTGGAAAAAAGGTGTGTGTTGTATGGGAGAAAATACTGTATGCATGGAGGAGCAAGATCAAGCAAATGCAATATAGCTCTAATATTCCTCCCTAATACATGTAAGCTCTCTGATAAGAATACAAACACACATTTGGCTGGAAGCCTTCTGTATCCACTCCCCATCTCCCAGGTACTGTTGTTGTTACACAGCTACAGAGACTTATGACTCATAGATGCCTGGCTCATGCTCATAAAGCTTGTAGTCTTTTCATCCTGTTAAAGAGACAGGTACATTCCTCCCTGCCCCCCCCCCGAGTTAATGATAATGCAGTTAATAAATCCCAAAGGATTAGTTCCTTGCTGGTTATATTTGTAATAGCTACCACGTTAGATACTTCACCATCACATAAAAGAGAAATGCATGTGATCATTCAAATAACTGTGAAGCCAAGAAACTTAAAAATCACACATTTCGAATGAGGACATTCTAACCAACCAGCATGGGTCCTTAGCCCCAAATATTTCACTTTTAAGATAAAAGGCTAGACTGAAATGGGACCTTATCAGGACATTTCAAATATGATATGTATGAACAGTATGATTCGGGCACATAGGGCAAGCTTCATCCAAGGGTTTTCTGAGCTACATTATCTTAAATCAAAATAGAATGCAGTGGCCCCATTCTTTCTTCTTAGTGTACTGGCAACATGTAAGAGCTGACACGAACTTGCTGACTTCAAGCCTAAATGGTTAGTGAAAACAACCCCTTTTTTCTGTCATAAAATGATAATCTATACTCCTTTCTTTGCCTTTCCACCCCTGGCTTATTGCAGGACACTGTAGGCACAAGTTTCAGATGCATTTTAAGAAATAATGCAGTCTAGGAATTGCCCCCCTCCTCTTTCCCTCTGCATATGCAGAGAGTGCTTCAGCTGCATTTCCTTTTCTCAGCATTCACAAAGAAAGCACACCGAGTCATCACACTAGACTCACAGAATTGTGTGTAAAGAAATCAGTCCAACATAGCTTTATATTAATGAGGGATCCACACTGAACCTTTTTCTTCTTAAGGCATGATATATGGTGGGGTAAACTAAATAGTACAAGCAGAACGCTAGTTTTTTCACACTGCAACATGGTCCTTGCCCATTTGAGTTAAATTTCATAAGCACTCTTTTTTTTTTTTTTAAAAACACACACACACACACACACACACACACACACATTAGCATACTGACATGTCAAACAAAGTAATATTCCAGACCATGATCTGGCATGTTACATCCTTTGCCTAATCTGAGAAAAATGTATCATTAACCTTATATAGACTAGGGACAGAAATTACACATAAACTGGGATAAGTAATTGGAAATCAGTTCAAATCTGTAACACAACAGTTCAGTGCACACAAACCACTTTCAGAATGGTCAAAACTGGTTTAAAATAAACCTGGATGGATGTAGTATCAGACTTAATTGATTTAGGTTAAATCAAGTTATTTAACTTCTGTTCCAGATCCCCTCCAGAGGATGCTTTGCACCTCCCTGGCAAACCCCTCCTCGCAGGGTGGGTGGGCAGACCAGCTTTGCCCCAAGCTGTCTGCTCCCACAGATCAGGGAAGTATGCTCCAGTGCCCCCTGGCTTCTGGCATGGGCCACTGCAGGCAGTGGCTACATTTCCAGAAATCAAAAGTGAATGCCTGTTCATTTGTGTATTGGTTCAATCTATGCAGTTCAGACAAACCTGCTAAAATTTAATCAATCCAGTGTCGGGCTGTTTGATTCAATGTCTGTACTTAGCCATAAAGATTAGTTAAAAAACAAGGCTGAATTGGATAACGTGACATTTAGGCAAATAAAGTTCTACATAGGGAAATTTGGGAAAACTAATCCATATTAAGTAATAGTGGATTGAAGCAGTGCATGGAACTCAGGCAAACATTTTTACTCAGAATGAAAGTGGTTTTAATTTAGTTTACTTCACTTTGTAAAGTGGCAATTTATCTCATCTTCTTTAAAAGTTAATTCAGATTAAACGGAAGGTCCTTGTGTAGTTGATCCCCTAAATTCAGAAGCCCTTTTTATGAATGTGCAGCCCTACTGCATTAGCTTTACTTCCATTTGTAGGAAGTATGTGTGAACACAAAGCTACTATATTGAAAGGAGTTAATTTCCTTCCTTTCAAAAAAGTATGGAAAAAAAAGCCACCATATACCCGAACACACCAGCACCAAGCAACCAAAGACCCTTAGATAGAAGATGTTTATAAAACTGTAGTTGTTTGCAAGCAAAATGAAACAAACGTATTTTGTAGGAACAATAAGTGTTATGATGGAAAAATTTAAGCAAGTTTTGCTTCCATCTATACACCATGCACAACATTTGGGGCAAAACAAGGTGTACAAGTTTCCAGATCAACTTGGATCTTTCTTTTGTAACAACACTATGTTTCCTCCTCTTTCACTAAATAGGTTATTAAAAAAAACAATACGTTTAAGGAACAGCTCCTTCTGCTTAGGGAGGAAGGGGAAAAAGTGGGATTCTTCTACATTTATTGTTATAAAGGAATAATCCACATTTGACTCTAAATAATGCATTTTAGAGTAGCAAGCGTAACAGGTAAACTGTTTGCTTCTAGTACTAGCCAAAGCCTTTCATCTAGCATAGGAAAGTAATATCCATATGGAGTAGAAAGCCAAACATAATTTACTAACTTTTTAAGCTACTTTTAAAATATACATCATGCTATTCTGCTCCTTGAAATGATTTTCTCAACTAATTTAACACATGGGCACATGCACACACACACAAGAAATTGCATGTTTTTTCTACCTTAAAAAAAGACACCTTGCTCCATTGTAAATTGCATTTCAGAAAGACACCAAAACCAGGAAAATTTCCTTATTTCTGACCTCCAACTCAGATCCCCCCTCACTCCTGCCAGAACACTTGAAGAAGCATAGGCACAGCATTACAGCTTCTGGGCCTGTGAACACTGTCCCAGCAATAATGTGCTTTATCAACTCAATAATCACAGAGTTTGGTAGTTTAGGGAGAGACAGCTTAGAGCTGCAGAGCTGAAATCGCTGTTAGCAGAAAGCATGCAGTAAATTCAAGGGAACATACAAACAACTGGACCTGTTCATTTGATTGGAAATATCCCATTCATTTTCTTTTTACTATCAGTTCTTCATGCTGTAGTGAAGGGCGGGCTTGAGGCAGATAAGGCTTAATGTTTTATGTAATTCTAATTCTGAAACATTTGTAGAGATAGTCCTGCAAGAACTAGCCTGTCCTGATTTCTCCCAGCCCCATAAGAAGCAACACACAATAAGGCAACTGGACTTTTCTTCCTAGGCCTAGAAGAAAGGCCATTTTGCTCATCGTGATCCATAGGGAAAACTATTTAACCAAAGAAGGTGGGTAAAGATTTACAGGTATTTGATATAGGCAGGGATGACATAGGCAACCAAGCTTGGGTGTGACCCAGCCCTCTTTTGCAACCATTTTTGCTACCACCCATTTTGCAAGCACTTACCGAAGTCCATGAGGGAGCTGCACACCCAGTTGGGATTAGCTCCTGTCCGAATGCACTTCTCCCACAAAGATGCTTGGTGCTCCTCAGTTCCTATCCCGGCCTCCGACTCCAGCCAGCCCCTGCCAGACAGTGCAATGATGCCCATGATGATTGCTAAGCCAAGGATAAGGGGCAGGAGCCACCTGCATCTCCAGCAAGCAAGACTGCACTGGCACGACACCATCTTTATGGAGCAGTCAGGGTCTCCAGAAGAGGATGGGCAAGAACTTCCTCCTGATTCTACAGGGAGGG